CCTCCACCATAGCCGCACTGGCAAATTTGCTAACACAGGGGTGGGAACACTCACCGAGGCAGACTCCGACGAGTCATCTTCTTCCACTTCGTCCCGACTGTCCTCGATCTCTTCCATCACCTCAGCCTTGGCCTCGGCCACCAGCTCGCGCAGGGCTCGGTTGCTGGTCACCTTGCTGACGAAGGGATGCTGAAGAGCCAAGCACAATGCACATGTGTGAGGTGGTCGGAAAACAGACCTCATGAGCTTACAGCCGAGCAAGCACACAGGGACGGTGGTGGCAAGGATCACTTCTTGCTTTAAAACAACCACAAAGACCCAAGGACATGGTTCTTTCCGATATCATCAGGCTTAACCCTCCCAGATGAATTTCCAGATAGACGCTGTGCGTATGAGGGAGAACACGAGAGAACGCAATGCCGAAGTTAAGCACCAGCTCTGCACACAGATACTCAAAGTGTGGTGCTCTGCAAAGCTGCTTTATGTCAACGTCCCCCAAACAAACGCACCAGCTACATTTAAACAAGGGGCTGCCACTGCAGATGAGACATCCCCCCTCACTGCAGGCAGGCTGAGCTCCGGGGTGCAGATCCGAGCCCACAGAGTGCCACCAGGAGCAGGGCAAGAGCCAGTTTGCAGGATCCCTGGGTGTAAACAGAGCATGGGGGAAGGTTTAATTGAAATCGGGCTCAAACCGCTCAGTGCACTCAATGGGATGTTTGTGTTGAGCTTCAGTGAAAGGCTGGGGAGTCCCTCTGGTTTGCAGAGGCCATGGCATGCTTCTTCCCACTCACTCCGATGCGGGATGGGAAACATGCAGCCAGTGTGCCAGCGCTGGCATTGGAATGGGCTGCCCAGGGAGGTGGTGGAGTCGCCATCCCTGGAAGTGTTTAAGAAAAGACTGGATGTGGCACTTGGTGCCATGGTCTAGCTGACATGATGGTGTTAGGGCAAAGGTTGGACTCAATGATCCCAGAGGTCTCTTCCAACCAAACCAAATCTGTGATTCTGCTGCAGAGCAAGAGCATCTGCAGTCAGTGGGGAAAAGAGTCTTCCAGGTTTTTGCTATTATTTTGGAAGGGGACAGGAGGAAAGGAAAGGAGTTGAATTTAAATCTGGGATAATCAGGTATAATCCATGCTGGCTGCCACATGGGCTTTTTTAAGCAACGGGTGCCATTTTCTATTCCAGCTGGTGTCCATAGGGGCTCTGCAGTTTGCTCCAAAGGGAAAAACATTGCTGTTCCTTTTTGGAGCATTTTAGTGCCTGAGAAGTACTACGAACTTTCTAAATAAGACAAAAATAATCTGAAACGAGTCTAGGACCCATAAACACCTTTCTTTTTGTTACCCTCCTTAAGAAGAATCAGGCTATACAGATGCAGGTGGTTCGGACACTCTCAGACCCAGGCGGACACAGACCCCAGCCACAGACCCAGCCCAGGGGCTGGTGCTGGTCCCTACCTCCAGCAGCTGGGCAGCACTGGGCCGGGTCTCCGGGTTCTTGTCCAGCGCCGTCTTCAGGAAGTCTCTGAACTCCAGGGACCTTAAAACACAGTCATTGGTGAGAAGTTCAGAAGATGAAAAAGGTCTCAAATGCCACAGGCATCTGTTCAATCCCTTTGCAGGTTCTGTCCCAGTTTGCAGCTGGCCATAATCACTGTTTCACTCCTACCATAGGAAGCCCTGTGCTGAGTTATTCTGATTACTTGTAAGAAAATCAGCAATGTCGCCAAGTGAGGGACTAGATTTTGCCTTGCCTGTGATGGCAACACATGGTGGGACTGAGTGCCAGCCACTGTGCCCCAAGGCCAAGGTAGAGAGATAGGAGAGGACACCAGAAGTTATCCTCCAAAGGGAGCCCATGGGTGGAGCTGCTTGTGGACAAGGATGCTCCAGGACCCATCCCCAAAGCCGCAGTGTGAAAGGACGGCTGTGAAGGACCAGGAACCCCATAGGAGGGCACCCTCAGCCTGCAAAGCGTAGCTCAGATACAGAGCATGTCCCTGATCCACTTCTGGCTTCTGAGCTGCTCCAGAAGAAGCACTCCCACCCTGCCTGCTGGATTTTAGCAGCAGGCTCCTGCCTGCTACCTGAACCACTATAATGCTTGTGACTCCAGTGCTCCCCCAGTAATTTACTGCTAGCTACCATGCAGCAGGTTTTATCATAATTAAAAAAAAAAACACCTAACTGATTGGATCTTTTTAAATGCAGAAGAGGCTTCCCAGACTCCAGGAAAGAAATTCTGGAGCTCTTGGCCATCTCTAGGTTTAGAGGAAAATTTGCCTTTTATACAAAACCAGGATGTTTTGAAAACAGCCAAGGGATCACCCTGGCTTCAGCTGTGCTGAGGGGGGGCAGCAGCTCCCCCCGTGCTGCCTGCACACCGTCAGCACGGCCACGGCACAGGCAGCGGTGAGCAGCCTGCCTTTGGCCAGCAGTGCTCTCCAGGCCCCTAGCACACAGCTGGACCTAGGATACTGCTAGAATCCTACACTGGGTTCTCAAATTAAACAATACTGCTAGAAAAGACTATTTTTTCTGCTCTTGAAATACCGTATAAGTTGGGAAATGCGTACTCTGCTGCTCAAAACACCTCACCATTTGGAAGGGCAGCTGAGTGTGGGAGGGTCAGATTTGGCAATCTTCAGCAGGACTCTCATGGGGTTAAGTTCATGATGGGGCGGCTCGATCTGGGCCATTTCGATCAGCGTGATTCCCAGGGACCAGATGTCCGCCTTGTAGTCGTACGGAGTGTCCTTCATCGTCTCGCACATCACCACCTCCGGGGCCATCCTGCAAGGTGCAGAGCAAGGAGCAGGGATGGGGAGGGATGACACCACAGCCACACAATGTGAGCCTTGCAGCAGCAATTAAATGCTTTAAATAATCCACAACTCTGCAATAAAAAACAGCCTTTCCTCCTAGCTCTGGGTTTCAGAAGAAGCAGCGTCTTTTCTAAGGGGTCCAACCCCCTCCCTCTTCTGCAGACCAGCTGCAACAGCCCAGGCAGCCCATGGAAACCCCCAGGCCATTGACATCTGGCAAGGATGTTGCTTCAGACAATAAATTAATCCTCGCCGATTCCATTCCTTCAGCAAGTCGGGTGATTTAGAGATTGCATTTCTGGAGCAAGGAGTTGTTCCCATGTGCTTGGAGTTGCTTCAAAGCCCACACCACCGCCAGGCTGCGGGGAGTGGGGAGCGCACACACACGAGCACACGTGTGTCCCTCGCTCCTCCAAGCCTGGAGCATGGTGGCCCCTCGGCTGGCTCTGGGCACACTGGCACAAGGCAACGCTCCTGCACCATGGAGGGTGCTCACAGCTCCCTTCAGGTGAGGGAAACCCATGCACATGTGGACAATGGCCAAGACTCCTTGTTAAAACCCTCCCACCCATGCTCAGTAAGGCACTATGGTCCAACACATCCCAAAGGCCATCAGCTCCCTGCTTCTGAGTGAGTCTGATCTTCAGAAAAGTAAAGCTCCTTATAAACATGGGATTTCTCAGCAAGCAGGTCACTCACCAGTAAGGAGTCCCAATGAAGGAGTCTCGCTTCTGCAAGGTTTTCATGTTCTTGGCAGACACTCCAAAGTCAGCTGCAAAGAGCAGTAATGTTAGATGCCGTAGGAAAACTTAAAGATCCTTCTGAATTAGCACACTTGGCTGAAATGCAGATTTAAAAGCAAACACACATTTAAGGCAAGAACATGATACAGCGTGCTGTTTCCTCTAAACTGAGCATCAGAAATTAAATTTGCTTTTGGGTACAGAACCACCAGGGACCTTCCCCTCCCATGTACTATAAGATGGGCATAACAAGCCACCCCTACTGTAACCCAAATCCCACACATCCAGAGGGAAGTCGAGATCTTTTCCACAAACAAACAAAAGCAGCTCCGTGGCAGATCACTTTCAGGACTGCTATTTCATAGTAAAGAGTCTTATTTTACACCAGAAGAACCAAAGTGCTGTTAGATTCTTTCTCTTCCCTTCAGCCCCATGTACAGCAGCCACTGTGTGATGCCTTTCCCTGATTTTGTCCCTTTATAGAGAAGTGCTGAAGCCAACCCAACCCAAATCAAATTGGTAAGACCTGCAGAGGCTACTGAGCCCACTCCAGGTCCATTTGCTCTCTGAGATGGCCCTAACGACCTTTGGAGGAGTTGTTATCCATCTGCACCCTGGGCTCAGGGTGTCCCTGACTGCGGGTCTGCCTTGGTCCAGCCAGCGGAGTGTTTTTACAGTGGAGCGCAACCCATGGTCATGAGAAGGTTTCCATCTTCCCAGGCTGGCTGATCTTCATCAGCACTCACAGACACATCCCAAGAACAACCCATGGCTGCTGGCACCCCTTGTCAGAGTACAGAAGGAGATCTGCACCTTTCTGACCAGTCCCTACAGACAAAGCTACCTTCTCATCTCCCAGCAGGTAGCTGGATGCCAATTTAACTCAAGCTGATAGCGAGTTGGCAAAGCAACCCTTTGGCAAAACTCGTCCTGTCACCACCAGACCTGCTCTAGAGCTAAGACAAATTCTTCCAGCTCCCAGCCCTGCCAACTGGCACCCTGCACAGGATGCTCAGCAGGCCAAAAAGCATAAAAATCAAGTTCAAAGAGAGATTAAACAAATTCACAAAAGGAAAGTCCATCAAAGGCCTGGGCATGGCTGTGGCTTGGAGAGTCTTGGTGCCCAGCTGGGGGCAAAGCACAGCACACAGCTCGATGGCAGATTTGGCCTCCCACTAAACCATACAAAATTTTCCCCCACCTTCTCCTGCCTGAGCTCAGCAGCCAGCAGACAAGCAGCTGATGTCCCATAGACAGGGCAGAAGGCAGAGAGCATCCCTCAATCCCTGCCCTGCTTTGGCACAGCCAAACAGTACAGTCCAGCTCCCAGCAACACGTGGCTGTCTTTAGCATAGGATGGTCACAAAGCATCACCATCGCCCACGGCCACTCTCCCAACGAGCTTGGCTGAGCAAGAGCCTGCCACGCTCCTGTGCCGGGCAGCTCACCCAGCTTGATGTCTCCATCCTGGGTAAGGAGCACGTTGCCTGCCTTTAGGTCACGGTGGATGATCTTTTTGCTGTGGAGGTAATGGAGAGCTTCCAACATCTGGCGGCAAATCACTTGAATCTGAGGTTCGGTCAGGCCGCGGTCCAGCTCTGCAGGGAGGGAGAAAGCCGTTAAACAGGACAGGGATTCAAGCGATGCTCCACCTGAGCAGCAGGAAGGCATGGGCTACCCAGCAGACCATTTGAAAACCACTGTCCACGTGTCAAAGCAGCAGGAGACCAATGCAAATCAGCTTGTTAGGGTAATTTATTCCCTAAGCCAGCACTTATAGTGCAATGCCTGCCTGCTTGGAGCTGCTGGTTTACAGTTCCCTCCCGGGGATGCAAGGCTGAGGCATCTGGCCCAGGAATAGCGTATGAGGGGGACGAGGAGGGGAAGCCAGGCATGCCTGCGACAGGGTCTGAACTGCAAGTTCCCTGCCGCTTTGGGAAATGGGTCCCTGCAGGTAAGCTGAGTCTCACCCAGCGTGGGGGTGATGCTGCAGAGAGGAGAGAGCTGAACTTGGCTGCAGGCGGCAGCAGGGTCAAACACGGGCGTGAACACTCGGCAGGTCTGCATGCAGCCGTGCTCTTGTCCCTGAGGGAGCTACCCCTGCCGCAGAGACGCAGCCCACCTCCTTGTACATCCATCAGGGACACGCCACTTCCCGAAGCAACAAGCAATAAAATCTTCACCAGCATTATCCCTACCCACTGCTCTGAGCTGTTTTTTCAGGTAGCACCAGGTACCAGCACACCAGTTCATACCCTGCTGTCCATCCCTATTTCTGAAGTTTGTGGGGACACGCGACCACTGGCGTGACCTCCCTGCTGAGCTCTGCTCAGCCACCTTCACCATCTGAGACCGCTTTCAAAGGCAACAGTTCTGCAAACCATCAAACTTCCAGATGGTTGGCATCGTCCGAGCTTCCCTCCCTCCGCAAGCCCTCACAGTGCAGATCCCTCCTCCAGCAGAGCTGAGCATGCAGCAGAGCACACCAAGCCTTCGACAACGCCAATCGCCCAAACTGCACGGCCGGGATGGGGGCTGACGGATGGACCCCAGCAACTGGGACAGATGCTCGTTCAAGAGTGAGGATCTTAACCACTGGCTGACCCAGCATCCCCCAGCCTCTTTGTTCCTCCTCTTCCTCACCAAGATCTCCTTTGCTCTGGTGGAAGCTGATGATTTTTACTCTCCCTGAAGCATCTGGCAAAAGTGAAGGTGCAGCAGCCCACAGGTTTTGTACAAAAGATTTCAAAGGCAAATGCCAGTTGCTGGTGGGGATGGGGAGGTGGAACATGCAGCATTCGGCAACTCTGAATTTACTAATATCAGGGAGCATTCCTGAGCTCCAACTCGCAGCTCCTCCTGCCCCTCATTCTGGGGGCGACAGCACTACAGCCAGGCCACTTGCTCATGGTTTTCTATGTTCCCCCTTCCCAGGTCCTCCAGAGACCGACTGCCATCGACACAGCCCCACAAATCCTCAGGGGGATTTTCATGTCCCAAGAGACAGGGCACCCCTGTTGAGGTCTTCTAGGGGAAAGGCATCATCTCCTCCAGCCCTTCAGAAAAGGTATGCTTTCATGCAGTGATTTGGACCTGCTTTAAAGAAGTTCCCTAAAGGAGGCACAAGTTTTAGGGGTTGAATCAAAGATGACAAATTTGAGTCCATACTTTTCCTGGAAATAAAAAGAAAGCTAGGCCTTTGGAAATATCAGAGCGGAAAGGGAGTAACCCCTGGGGAGACACGGCTCTGTCCCAGGGGAGCCAGACAAGAGAATGTCAGAGCATCACGTTCGCCATGCAGAAGGGATGTCACCCCCCCCAGGGTCTGTACAGCCCTGGCACAGAGGGGCTGTGGCAACAGCCAGGGCTGTTTTGGGGAACACCCACACACTCCCAAGTCCCAGTGGCTCTATGGGGAAGGGAGAAGTTAAAAATGGGAAGATTCCTGGAATTGCTGCAAACTGCAGTTTATTCGGATGCTCTGCTGCTTCACCATACAGAGAAGTCAGCAAGAAGATCCTGGGAGATTCATCACAACAGGTGCCCGGATCAAACATCTTAGCCCTGCTGCCCTTCCCGGAAAGCTGTGGGAACAGAATCCCAAGCACGCAGTGCCTCCAGCAGACAAATATTTAATAAATATTTAAAGTCATCTTTCCCCTTCAGCCAGACTCTCCCTTCTCCCCACGCTTTGTGATCTGCTGATGCCGGCAGCATTTAAATCACAAAAGGACATCAAAGTAGCTCAGGAAACCCCCCAGGGCTGCCACACCTTCTGCTCCAGGTATGAAAATAGGCAAACTCATGGGAGAGAAACAGTAGCTGGAGAAGCTGGGGCACCCATGTCTGCCATCTGTCCAAAGGGTGCCCCTGAAAGCGTGCCAGAAGGCTACAAACACCTTGTGGGCATCACCCTGAGAACAAGGAAGAGCTCAGCACCCTGCGCCGCACTCACCCAGCATGGTGGCATCCACCGCCCCGCCTGGGCAGAACTCAATCATGATCTGGGGAAACAAAGAGAGAGGAATTAAAGTCAGGTCTGCATCTCACTGAGCAAATCCCACCAGGTAGGAAAGAGGAGACAGAAGTGTTGGGTTTTCCTTCCCCACATGGCAAAGCCGCCCCTTTTCCCCACATAGGGATGCAGAGGCTTCGGCACTCCCCAGGACACATCCTCCAGGCATCCCCAGCACCAAGGATCAGCCAAGCCCTGGGGCCAGATCCTGCACATCGCCCACAGCAGCCCACATCTCAGAGGGACCGTCCCATTGCTGCAACACCCCCAGCAGCCACACCTGGACACCCACCCGAGCAGCCAGCTTCAGCTCCGGCTTCCTCTCTGTTTACGCTTCTTCCCATTGCATTCCGGAGCGAGGGCTGCTCCAGAGAGCAGCTTTGCCAACAGGATGAGATGGCTGTCATAGCTGGGAGCTGACGTGGCTGGGAGAAATCAGGCAGGATTTTCTTTGGCAGATGCGAGATGGGGAGGGCTATCGGGTCTTTATTTCACTCCACCCTCCCCCTCCCCATTGCTCAGTAGTTCATTGCTCTCTTGATTTTGAGCAATTTGAGGGGAAACTGTCAATAAAGAGGTCAAGGACATTCACTAGATTGATGCCGTTTCTCTCCCAGGGACATGCACAGAATTCTGCCAGTCCCCAACATCTGCCTGCCTGGCTCCTGCTGTCCCCCCACAGAGTGGGGGGCACCCACTGGGTGGGCCCTTCCCCAGCACCTGAGGGATGCAGGTCCTCTTCCCCCTCACCTCTGCACAAACTCAGCCAGAGCCATTCCCAGCATGAGGCTCGGTGCCAGTCCTGCTTGTCTTCAGGGCAGACAAGGCTGGTAAACATTAAAATTTCAAGCAGCCAGGGGTTACGTGGGAGAAGAGATGCTTCACCTCCCCAACAAGCTCTTCTCCTTGTCGAGGTGACACAGGGCAACATACCGGAGAGGTGAAATGCCAGATTTTATTTTGAGGACAAGGACTGAAGGCGGTGTTTACCAGTGCAGCTCTCTAAGCCCTTCAAGCAAAGGTCATGTTATTCAGCACAGCTCTAAGCACTTGACCAGGAGCTCAGGGGGGAAGATTCAAGCTCCCTCTTTCCCATGGTCTAATCCTGCATCTCCAGGCAAGCCACATCCCACCCTTATGTCCCACAGTTCCTACAGACGGGAAAAGCAAATGCTGTTATCGACCTGGACCATGGTGGAAGACATAGCTGCTTTGTTTTGGAGAAGGGAGAGCGGGATCAGGTGCTGGGACGCAGCAAACCTTGAATTGCTCTGCAAGAATTGGCCCAGGTCCAAGAGTTGGAAGGGAGACAATGCTGAGAAAAGAAACCCGGGCAGGTTGAGCAGTGAGACACAGGCACCGTTGGAAAAAACGGAGAAGAATAACCAGAGGCCAGGGCTGGGGAAGCATTTGAAGCAGGCAGATGGATACAAGCAATTGGGAAGACATTTGAACCATTCTCAATTCAGGAGAACAAACCTGTGCTGACTCGGAGCTGAGCAGGAGCCTGGCAGGGAGGAAGCCAGCAGAGCCCCTGCACAAATGGGCTATGTCAGCATGTTTTTTCTTGCCTGAGTTTATACCTTGAACCAGAGCATCAGCAGCTTCACTAGCAAATGGAAAGGCAAGAATTGCCTCCTGCCGTGGTCTGCCCAGGCACAGAGATCCCCAACTGCACCCCTGTGCCCCATCATCACCCCAATACAGCTCTAGGAGGCTCATTTCAACCAATTATTTTCATACCGTTCCTCATCATGTTCATCAGAGCAGACTAACACCACCAGCGGACACCAGCCCTTCTTGGACTCCTCAGAGCCCAAAGTGCCAGAAGCAAACCCCAAACAAGACCCACACCAATGCCAACCTGCCAGCTGGGAGCGCACGGGGCTTTTCATCACTCTGGGAGGCTGAGGGGATGTGTGGGGTTCTGCTGGCACAGCCAGCCTGGTGACGGTACCTCCACGCAGCGATACCACGACCCCGCCTGTGGGACCTGCCCTCTGCCAGACCATCCAACCTGCCACTAGCCCAGACCAGCCAAGAGTGAGTGGCCGCTGGCTGCATTCCCCAAGCCCATGGCGCAGGGTTTGCAGTGGTTGCAGAAAGACAGCGCAGACCCGATCCCACATACGTCTGAGTATCACAGCTTTGCACTGCTCTGGCTGGCAGAAAACCTGCCCTTACAAACGATCCTGTCTCATCACTGAATCATAGTCCAAGGTTTCATTTGTTTCACATGAGCAATCTTTTCCTTCTCCTACCCATCCAGGCACCTCAGGAACTCACCTGCCCAAAGAGGGTGGTCTCCGGGTTCAGGCAACAGCCTCCCTTACATTCAATCAGTAGAGAAGACCTGATGAGAAGCTTGTCTGTGCTACCAGGCTCAGCTCTTGAATTTAAACAGTCCCAAACTTTCAAACAACCCAGACCAAATCAACTGCTAACACGGCCTTTGCCATTCAGGTGACTTGGGTGCTTTCATTGCTAACGCTCAGCAAGCAGCTTGACAGCTTCTGCTTCTTTGTATGTCCCAACTAAACGAAGTCCCCTGGTATCTCACACAGCCTCCAGATTGAGAAACGTCATTTTAAGTTTGAGGGGTGAGACACACAGAAGGCAGCCAGCTGGGTGACAGCCACAGCTGCCCCAGTCAGCAGAGCCCCCAGGAGCCCAATGCAGTCCCCCCCTGGGCAGATGCCGTGCTGAGGTTTCCTACCAGGGGCACAGCTGGCACAGCCAATGTGCTCTGGTCAGACACATGGAGGTTTTAAATGGGGAAGGGCCAAAAGGCAATGCATCCTACTCTGGATGTGTGTGGGATGCATTTAATCTCACAAAGTTTTATTCAGGTTTGCAGACTAGCAATAAGAAAATTAGGGAAATCAGTCCATCTGAACCAGCATGACTGTGTATGTTTATGCAGGCACAGCAGGCTGCAAGCCAGCCAGTGGGAATACTGGAAATACAGAAAACTTAAAAATATGCATTTTTAACAAAGGCAGAGATGCCAAAGAATAATTACGGGCGTGGCCAGATTGTCTGAACATCCAGAAACCTAATAGGCTCATTTCAGCCCAGAAAACGTGATTTAAAATGCAACTGGCAATCCCATAGCTCATACACCACGCACACTTCTTTCCAGGAGCAAGGCCAGCCTGAAAAACATTTTACCGTTGAAGCAGGTAGGAAGGTAGGCCTGGTGTGCGAGCCTGGGGGATGCAGGAACCTCGCGGAGGGGGTGCAGGCACCCTCCTCAGATGTGCAGTGGGGAGGGGACGGTTGGGAGGTCGCTGACACCCTGGGGATGCAGCCTGCCACTCCGGCCTTGATGAGGAACAAGTTGGGAGGATCCTAGAAGAGAGCTGTTGACAAGAGCCTGCTGCATCTCTGCAGCCAGGAGGCTGGTGATTTACCCAAGAGCTGCAAAGAGTTTAATTCTTTGCTTAGGACTGTTTCCATGTGCTTCGATACATGGGCTGAGTACTCCTTTACTGAGGTGTCCCGCAAGCCGCATCTGGAGCGGTAACCGCTCTAGTGACAATGCCAACCTCAGTCCTGCACTTCGGCTCTCAACGCCGCACCGGGCTGCTGCCTGCGCTGTGCTCGGCCACCCCCAGCAATGCCCCTGCGACCTGCAAGACCTGGGACCCAGCACAGGGCTTCACTGCTGAGCCACAGCAACACCGTGAAACTGGTTTCACACAGCCGGTCCCCAAAAAAAAACCAAACTCCTGTGGTCTTGTGAACCAAAGATATGAGACCTGTGGAGGTCTCTGCCCCAGTGCTGACATCCTGAAAGCGGCTCCTTCACACCAGTTAGAGCTGGGGGAGCACCCACACCTCCTCCTTCCACTCGGCGTCCAGGTGAGGGGGGCCTGAGCGGGTCTGCAGCAAGTGGCCTGGAGCGGGGCTGGAGCAAACATCCTCTTTATAACAATTTCCTCCGCACAAGAAATCCAGGGACTTCCTCGCCAAAGGCTGCCCAGCCCCTCTGCCGTGCTGGGCTGCCGGTGGGGGAGATACAGCAGCAATGTTAGCTCTCCCTCCTGCTGCCACCTCAAAGCTGTTATAAATCCCAGGGATTAGGCACTATTGGCATTTTAGTTTTCAATCCGCAGGCAGTTGCAACTACACCTCACAGGAACACGCAAAATTCACTGCTAGCTCCCATCACTGACTTATCTGAGCAACATAATCAACTGACAGCTCCTTTCCAGCACAGCCAGAGCCCCACGATCTCAGCTTCGACACCACGGCCAAGAAACCCAGCCACCGCGCTGGGCTCATTCACAGCTCAACGGCGATGCACAAGCTGCATGCAGAGGAACAGATTTGGGCAGTTGGTTTACAGACAAAGGGACCCTCTCTCGCTAAGTCTCAAAACTTTCATACTACAATTTGAGCACTGATATTTTTCTTAAAAGTCCCTTTTCTCCTATATGTTTAGTGAAACGGCATGAATGAAGAGGTCTGTATGCAGAAGCCACACAATCTTTCCCTTTCAAGAAACTTTTGCATGGGTAAAATTAAACTAAAATTTGAAAGCAGAAGTCCACTCAAGTTAAAGGGCTTTGCTAGTGACCTTGATTCTTCCCATGGCTCATCCTAATCCTGCCTTTAGGCACAGCAGGACCTGGAAGCATTTTGTAGCCCGAGTGGGAGCAGGGCACACAGAGGGGGCTGGGGCCCTTTTCTGGGATGCTCAAGTAATAAGTGACTGCCTGGGAGGAAAGGAAACAGGGTCCAGTAAGCCTGGGTTTGACCAGGAGAATAAGTACACATACATATGTATGAAACAGCTATGGCTTAAACTAAGCGTTACTAAAGATGCAGGTCTTCAGAGAATCCCTCTGGCACACTACATCAGGCCAGGGCCAGAGGGACAGCAGCCCAGAAAACAAACCTAGGATAGATTAGAGCCCAGCGCAGTTTCTGGGTCTGACAAACCAGAAGCAGCATCTCCTCCCAGGTACCAAAGTCCTCCCAGGT